AACTGTCGACCCCGCCCCCGCCGTTCGGATAGAGGCGTGAAGAGATTCCTGAACATGTGGACCCAGGTTCACGATCGCTAGCAAGAGTTTGTGGGCTAGGGTTTTGGCGACGAAGGCGGATAAGAGAGCGAGAGTGGTGATCGAACGAGTCGAATGGGTGAGTTGGGACCAAGTCCGGGATTTTGGGCACGGAGAGGACGCCGTCGGGGACGGAGAAGCGACGGCGGAGGCGACGATTCTAGGGCTTCTGACGGAAAGAGAGGGGTAGGGTTTATGCCGGAGAGAAAAGCCGAGAGTGAGATTTCGGTGGGTAGGGCTTCGAAAACGGGTGTCGAGGAGGATCGAGCAGCGAAGACTGATGCTGTTGCCGATGATGGAAGCCATCGTCGTCGGTTTCTCCCGGCGGAGAATTCTCCTCAGGATTTTCTCGGGAAACAAACAGGGACGAGAACAGAGACAACAAAGGAAAGAAAGAACCTTAGCCGCTATTTGATATTCATATAATAACAGTCTTCTTCTTTACCCTTGAAAGCTTCTGTGGCAGTAAATCAATAATTAGTGGGTATTAGTAATAACCCTTCATTAACAAGTGATCAGCGTTGATCAAACCAATATCAGATTGAGGCCAAGCAATTAAAACGAGAACCAAAACATGGGTTAAGACTAATCATCATTAGGGTATGTTCTTGATCCCAACTCACACTCTTAAATCCAACAGAAGAAGCACCAAAACCCAAAACCCACATATCCAAAATAACAAAGGCGCTTCTTTACCAACTTTTCAAGTTTTTTTTTCCACCCAAACCAAAAGCTATAAAAACCCGATTAAAACCCAAGTTTAACACTCCATAATTCTGCTAATTACCTGTTTCTTTATGTCATATATATATATAAAAAAAAGGTCAAATCTTTGAGGTCAGAAGCTGGTTCATCTTTCACTGATTGCACTGGTGGTCATCTTGTGCATTGGCTTTGAGAGGGTACTTGATGGCATTGAGCTGGAGCTTGCGCAGAGCAGCACTGCCCAAATCAATGCCGCAGACATCTGACAGCCTCACCAGATAGAGCAAAACATCTGATAACTCTTCTCCAAGATGAACTTTCTCTTCCTCTTTCCAACCAGGAAGCCCTCTCGGCACCTCGCCTTTCCACTGGAATATCTCTGATAACTCCCCAACTTCTCCCACCTGAACCCATCATATCCATACATGACCAACCAGCCTCAAGAACTAAATGGTTTCTTGGCTTAGTTAGAACCACTGATACAAAAATCACAGTTTACCCGTGGAATGATCAATGATGTCAAAATCAAGAACTGGGGAGTTCTTGGTTTCAAACAAGTAATACAATCCACATATCAAATGGGTTTTGCCCACAAAAAAAAAAACAGAAAATTTTGGTTAGGGGTACTGTTTTTGATTAGATGTAAGGGAAAAGTTTTGAACTTTGTTGACTTGGTCAAGAAAAAGGACTGGCCTTTGGGATAATTATTGCGTATTTTTTTTCAGCAAAAAGCCCCAGAGGTTTACTGAACCACTGTGATTAGATGTAAATGGAGGAAATTTAACGGGCAAATTCAAAAGGAGACTAATAACACTATCAGCCAAAACGATGATTCTTTCATTCTCGCTCTAAATGAAAGAGGACAGAGATTTTGAGAAATCTGAAGATCTTAGCATATAACTAACAGAAAGAAAGAAAGAAAAAGATGTATGCTTCAATGTACATGAAGAGAGATTGCTATATTCCTACTCGGAGGCTGTCCTAAGGGAAGATCAAGAAAACGGAAATGAAAAGAGGAGAATACTAATCAGAAAAGAAAAAAAAATGAAATTTCATAAGAAAAAAAAAATCCCAACTTTCGAGTCACATCATCAAAAACAAACAAAACCCATTTCTTAAAGAATGCCAAAAAAATTTCATATTTCCATGCGAGATCTTTCTAAGCAGTCACGGGTCACACTAAAAGTGGGAAGAGTTCATTACCTGACAGAAGAAGAAGAAGAAAAAAAGGGGCTTACCCAAAAAGGCAAAATGCAAAGGTGGAAAATTTGGGGGAGGAAATGAAAGGACAACCCCAAAAAATGATCATGAATCTTCCCTTTTTCCCTTTGCTATGAAAAGAGAAAACCCTAATGATGATCATTGATCAGAGAGAAATCAGATTGAAAAAGGGTTTGATGTACCATCGCCAAAAGGAGGTTCCTTGGGCTGTGAAACTTCTCCCAATCTCTTTCCTTTGCGAAATCATCCATTTTCTTCTTTAGAAGATCGAGAGATACCACCTCTTCTTCTCCTCCTCCTCCTTCTGCTCCTCCTTTCATTTTTCTCAGAAACCCTAGCGATCCAGAAAATACCGGAAACGTGCTTGTGTATTATATTTATGTTTTATGCCACGAAGTTTCACGCGGTAAGAAGAAATTCCAGTGAGAAAAAGCAAATCTTTTGGTTGGTTTTCTTCTCTTTTGGGGGGGGAGTGATGGGATGACCGGTTACCGGGAATTACCAGTTGAGGCAAAGAGATTGATACTGAGAGTGACCTACACGTGGCGGTCATCGACCGGTCCCAGCCCCTTGTGGGCCCATTCTCCCCTCGTTTTCGGCTGCTTTATTCGAGTTTCCATGTTTTTCCCTCGTTTTTTAATGTTATTAAAAAAATCCAGAAACTTTTATCCATAAACACTAAAATATTTCTTTTAACTCAGAGATTTGTAATCTCCTACTTTTTAATTCTTGAACAATATTATTAAAACAAATCTCATAAAAATGTAGAAACTCTAAAAATATTCAAAATATATATTAATTTTAATTTGATAAGTAAACATCAAATGTTTAAATGTACCAAAATAATATGTCAAATCTTAATATTGAAAACATTTTTTCATATATCGATGATATCATTAAAATTCGAATATAAAATTGCCTTTGAATAAAAATAATTTGTTTGATATTTTTTTAGCATATTGAAAAATTCGTATATTTTTATTGGAGTTTCATATTATTATTAAATTTGATATGTTATATGCAGAGCCGTCTCATAGATTTAAGAGGTCCTGTTTAATTATATATATAATATTTATAAAATCCTTATTTTAAATCTAATTAATAATTTATTAATCATTTTTATTAGTTATTTAAAAGCAAATTATAAAATAAAAAATATTTTTTAAAAAATATTGTTTTTTTAAAATATATTAATTAATAGATAAAATTTTAAATTATATAAAAAAGTAACAAAAATTAGAAATGATAAATTATATTATTTATTACAATAATTTTAAAAAAATATATATAAATTATTACTTTTAATTTAAAGTGATACAAATCAAAATCAAGTTTATAGTGATTAAAAATTATTATCTAAGAATTAGAATTGTTATAATATAAAAGATTATTACAATTTAGCAAATTTTTTTTAAAAAAAATTAATTTATAATTATTTTTTTATTTTATTTAAAATCTTATTAAATTTTAAAAATATTTTTAAAAAATTGTGGCCCTATAAAATTGAGGAGCCCTGTGCAGTTGCTCCATTTGCACCCCTCATAGACGGTCCTGGTTATATGTATAAACGATGTAAATCATGAACGGTAATTTATTTTAACAATAGAACGTAATAAAAAATTGTTTTCTACAATATTAATCATATTATTGTAGTTTCATATATTAAAAAACATTGTAAATTTATAGATTAGGACAGTATCATGATATTTCAAATATTTTTAGGGTAAGAAAATAGGAATTCAACTTTAAATCAATATATAAAATTATTATAATTGTATAAAATAACAGATCAGATCGCATAGTGACCAAGAAGAGGTGTGGACCACCCCGTCAACCATTGAAAGAAAATTGATCAACTTGCTTTATATAAATATACTCACAACATTAGGAGATAATTTTATTTCATTTTAAATTTTTCTTAAAATAATTCTCTATCATTTCGGGACTATTTTTTTCACATTTGGGAGCATTTCATATTTTTTATGGATCAATCTTATAAAATGTTTTAAGAAAATAGTGTTAATTTTACGTCTCTTCACAATCCCAAAAACGCTTTATATTTATCTATATATAGGTTTTTCAACCTATATAATTTACTAAATATTAACAATTATAAATATTCTATCTGTTGAGATGTATTTTTTAAAAAATATTCTCTAGATTTGGGTGTCAAACTTTCTTTTTGAGTCGGTTTCTCTCTAATCATTTCTCTTTTAATTTACTAAGAAAAGTAAATAAAATTTGAAATTGTACCTAAAGAGCAAAATGTACAAGTGGATGTATATATATATCGGCGACGACCGACAAAATAATAAAATTACCAACCAAAAAATTGGATGAGAACCACCACAAAAACAAAGGTTAATTGGGGGAGTCCCTCAGCCTAGTGGTTAGTAACAACTCTCTTCTACCAAGAAGTTCTAGGTTCGAAATTCAGGTATGGAAACTCCCCTTGAATCAGACAGTTTTAACAGTACCATGCCTTTAACCAACCGGCACTAGCAATTTAATTCAAAAATTAAGGCTGATTTATCTGCTCTGCGTGGTTTGCCGGCTACTACGTAGGGCGGTGGATTTTCTCAGGTCCACGATGTTGTTCTGATGTCGTTCTCGTCCGACCCATGGATTGAGAGTCGATGCGGTGTTCAGTGTCCGATCCGAAAGGTTGTAGGATAGGGGTTTTCCATCGTAACAAAAAAAAACAAGAGTTTATTAATTATGAGATCATAAATATTTAGATTATATATTTCATCCCTAAATTTAAGGTTCAAAATCTGAACCGAACAAACGATTTGCATCTCTATCATAGACAAAATTTTGTTCCATTTTATATGATTTTAAAGTAAAAAAGAATGAACATGTATTAGAATTGATTATAATGCCATTTTTTTTTACTCGAGTATAGATATTATAAGATTGTAGCAGTTTTTGAATAAAAAGGACCGTCGCGAATATTTGTGAAATAAAAATGTAACGATACATATAATGTAAAAATATTTATTTATCGTTCAACTGCAGTGTAGCATCTTCTACATTTGCACAAGATACCGATACATATTGTTTATAACATGTGTGTGTATATCATAGCATTAATCTATTATATTAATATCACTAACAATTTTCAATATCACTCGAATTTATCGAATTTGAGATCTTGATTATTGATTTGAAATTTTCTTGGATGAAACACTTTTTTAATAATTAAAATATAAAATTACTCTTAAACTAAAATATGAACCCCAAACATAATAAGGATAAAATATATTTTTCAAATTTAAAATTATGTTTCAAAATATTTACTAATTTATTAGTTTTAAATTTTTTTTTGAGCATTAACATAATTCCCATTAAAAAAATTAGACGTAGCTATGGGTTCATTATATATACAACGAATTAGATGTGGTTTATTTGGTCAGAAACCGAATAACTAAACCGATTTAAATCGAATAGCATATAATCATAACCGAATCGAATTAAACATAAAATCGAATAATGATCAAAATTTTCTAAATCCAAAAAAACCGAATCCGAACAGAACCGAAGAAAAGGTAACCGAATACCTTATTTTTTTAAAAAAATGAGTATTTTTTTATCATAACCGGACTAAACCGAATTCAGTTTCAAAAGCGAAATAACCAAACCTAAGTGAACCGAAATCCGAATATATATATATATATATATATATACACGTAAAACGAAAGTCCAAGCCCAATGGGCCGCTCTCCTCGTTCGGTTTCGTCACATTCACTTGCACATATTGTGTGTGTGTGTGTGTATATATATATATATATATATATATATATATATATATATATATATACGTTTTATAGCGCGTGAAATCGAGCAAAGCATATGAAATAAAAATAAGAGAATGGACCGACCATAAAATACGATAACATCACTTCACGCACACACAAAAGTACACAAAGATGCGTCTTGAAATGAAACAAAACGCCATTTAATATCGTTGCCAATGATAATGCGAAACAAACAAAAAACTGAAAAAAAAAAAAAATTTGCTCCCCCATGTGATCATTTCTTGACTTATGTCTCGTTTTTGGACCACAGCACCATGTGAACTCCTGCAAATTTCTAAATTATTATTTTTATTGAAATGTAATTTTGTATTAATCGAAAAACTGTTTTGAGTTTATTGTATAAACATAAATTTATTTCTACAAAATTTTATAAGGAATATGGGATTTCCATTGAGATATGGAACACTATATTTCTATGGCAAAAGGAACATTTAAAAATCAATTTCTTTACCCAAAAAAAAAAACAATTTATAAAGAATTGATGGCTTAAGGATTTATAGATCTTACAAGGAAAAGAATATAGTTGTAGAAATATACGGAAATGATATTTTTTATTCGTAATCAAAATAAAATATAAATATACTAAAGTGTTACATTGAATAAGTAAACTAAATATAATAATAAATATTTCTAAATATATATTTTCCAGATTTGATAAAAACTTCATTATACGAGATATCACGTAATATTCTCCAATATCCGATATATCTCAAGCTTCTACACCCCATGACATCAACATCATCATTATCATCATCATCATCATCACCATATCATCATCATCAAGCATAACAAAATTGGTATAAAGCTTGAATCGACATAAAAAAAAACAGTAAGACTAAATATAATATATAGTAATTATGTATCTAAACATGCCTCGTTGGAATCCCAGCAAAAGTTTTTTTTCGAGAAGATGGATACAAAAATTTCGACATGGAAAGAACAAAATAAAGATATATAATAAAAAAAAAGGGTTATATATAGATATTATCTGTGGCATACACATTTGTAATGGTAAGCACTGTTGATAGGGTCATTGCCTTCGACCGGCACTTGCTCGGCTCTGCATTTGTATTTGCATCCTCTGCACTCATTGTACGTACAAGTTGGCGCCGTCGATCCTATCATCATCCTCCTCCATGAATTCCTCTCCTTCAATATACATATATATATGTATGTATACATGCATTAGTAACTATAATTCGTCGAAATTATCGTCTATAACGTAAGTTTAGTATCGAATTATCGAGATTGGACAAAAGGGTATACGGGCAAATAATCCGAAAACGAGCTCTTACCGCGAGATCTAGTTGCGAGAGAGTTTTTTCGATAGCCCGGGTTCTTGAGCCTGAAAAAAAGGAAATATAAACTCATTCATCAAGATTCTAGGGTTCTTGCATAATTGGATAAACTATATTTTTTTTTAAAAAAAAAAGGAAGAAGAAGATAGGGTTTTGAATGAAAAAGGGTTTCAAGAATAAATATAAATGACCTTTAGCAACAAAATCTCCAAGAAACACAGTGAAGAAGATAAGAAGAAAGAGCAACAATCCTCTTGGTTTCGTCTTCACCATTATCTCTTCTTCTTCTTCTTCTTTATCTTTGGGGTATGGTCCAAATACTTTGAGTGAAAATGCTATCGAATGAAATAGAGAATGAATTAAATTGGGGGAGAGAGAGAGAGAGAGAGAGAGAGAGAGAGAGAGAGAGAGAGAGAGAGAGGGGGAGAATTTGTCTCCTTTGCTGTAATTTTGTCCGGTTGTTCTTGTAATGCTGAGGTTTGTGACCACATAGCTTGCATTAATTTTGAAGATTTTTTTTTTTAAAAAAAAAAGATAAACGAAAAAAAAAACAGAAGCACTCATCGTTTTCTACAATCCTTGCGTGTTTTTAGACTGTCTCCCTTTGCGGCTGTACCCAAAAAATAAATTGTCGGGTGATATGCCTATAGATACGAGATTTTAATTAAGATGTGACTGGATTTGATGCATTAAAAAGTTAAAACGCCTATAAATATGTAATATTATAATTTTGGCACTTATGAGCGATTTAGAACAAAATATTAAAAATTATAATTAATTGGTTTTAAACACAAATTTAATCAAATAATAAATGAATGAATTATGTTTTTTAAAAAACCCATTATTAATTGTAAACATTATGTTTTTTAACTTGCATGGAATATCAATAAAATATCATTAACCTATCTTCTTCTCAGCACCAACAACAATTTACCAAATAACCCAAACTTGGATAGTATAATGGTAAGAGAACATGCAAAATATGTTTTTTATTTCGGGTTCAACCCAAACATGAGAAAGATGTAGTTGAGCCAAATAACCGGTAAACTTTCGGATTAAAAAAAAAATAATTTATCAAACATGAAAACGGTTTATAATCTTCGATAATTATTATTAAAAATAAAAGGCCACAATGGCAATGGCAAATATGACCATATAACCGTTTAGTTTTTAAGAAATTAGTTGTCCAAAACACCATCTAATTTTTATATATAAACTCACAATATAAAATATGTAATAAACAAGTATAAATATTTCGATATCGTATTTAAATCGGTAATATATGAAAATTTTGAAGAAAAAAAAACAATATTTTTAGAAAATAAAGATTTTTCTTATTAGACTCTAAATCCGAACAAAATTTAAAATCGACATAAAAAGGGAATGAATATAATTATCATAATTCAGAAAAAAAATCAAGATACAAAATAAATTAACGTAATTATAAATAAAATCCAAAATCTCCACTCCTAGACCCTAGTATTAGATATTTATGAGGCTAATATATATAACCACAAGCCCATATGTGAAGAGAAAAACTAATAGCCCATAATATATTGGGCTTTATGACTTGGGTTCTTCGCAATTTTATATATATATATATATATATAAATGTAATATTTGTAGGCATTTTTTTTCGTACACGACTTTAATTTTTTTAACATCAATATTATTTTTTTGTTAGAGAAAACGAAATCTGAAATGGAAAAAATAATGAGCTGTCCGTGAAAATAAAAAGATCCATTATATTTTGCTGAAGAACAAATTTTCACTAATTGAATCAAGAGATATTTGCCCAACGTGCACCATTATATTTTGCTTAATTCACAGTTTTGAAGAGAAAATTCATTATTAAGATTTTTTTTTACACAAATATTTTAAGAATATTTATGAAAATAAAACTTTTTATAACATTGGGGAACCCCTATCCTACAACCCTTCGGACCGGACTTTCGTCGCGGACCTGAAAAAATCCCAAGCCCACGCACATGAGCATCAAATCCTTGTTAGTAGAACAAACGACAATCGAGACTCCAAACTACAAATAGTTTCCTTCGTAACATGTTTTTAACTTTCTTTTTTTAAACCAATATTGGGCGGCTCATCTTATAACGGGGCAAAACTCATTTATGACCCACGTTCGAGTTTCCATTTAGAGATGGATATTCACTTAGTTTTTTCGATTTAATATAGCCGAGCTAAAGATGCGATAAATTTACGGATTATTAAAAAGTAAAATATTAAGCTTTTTAGGTTATAAAAAATAATAATTGAATTTTAAATTTTTCTTTGCACACACGAGATTCCGGTGAAGTGGCAAGAATTTATTCCTTCGAAATTATTAAACTCCATGTGGAAAAAGAGACCGAAGATTATGACTATTGACCTGCCGCTCTCACATTCGGCCTCTTCGTCTACCTATCTATATATATATATATATGGAATTTCAGCTGCATTGTATAAATTTATTCTAGAAGATATTAATACGCATTTTTTTTGTATTTATAACCCAAACTTCTGCCTGAGTTGGTCGGAAAACTCATGATGCGATCCAAAATGAGTGAACGTTTTGTATTATCATGTTTTATAATTTTCTTACATATAATCGAGTAAAAATAGGTTAAAAATAACATATATAACTAAATATAATTCAGAATAAGGTTATAAAATTTATTTCTGTTAGAGTTTCACGCAATGAAATTAAATAGAGATAGATATAAAAGAACGATAAAGAGAAAAACAAAAAAAAAATGATATGAGGATTTATGTGGAAATCCAAATAGGAAGAAAACGAATGAGAGAATTTCTGCTCCGAAATTAATTTGAATCTCGGTCCAAAACATCCGGTTACAAAAAAGAAAAGAACGAGATGGAGAATTCACTATATAGAATTTAGAATAGATTACGAGCAAGCGTGATCACCGGTCACTTTTCCGATCGCTGAAAATCATAAATCGTAACCATAGATAGTATTGCAATTGAATAATCATAAGGCCAAAAATAATTAAGGACGAATGAGAAATGGGCCCATTCCCATAATTCGGACAAACCGAAAAAAGACGCGTCTTTAAATTAAACGAAGCCATGCCATGCAATGACGTGTGGAAAAGACAGCACAACCCCCCATCCCTAAAACTAGGGGGATTTTATTATATTCTTTCCTAAATATTTTTAGGGGTGATAGGAGTATCAATCGGGTTCCGGTTTAGGGTTGAGCTAATTCGATTTTTTTCGGAATTAAACAATTAAGTTCGAAATCCGATTTTATAAGTTTCAGATTCAGATCGAATCGGGTCGGATTGGTCCGAAAGTCTAAATTTTTTCGGACCAATATATTTAGTCTCAAATTTTGATTTTTTGAGATAGGTTCGGACCGAACTTCGGATTTTGGACCAAAATTGGCAT